TCTATGCAATGAAGGTGTCAATGATGTGAAGTACTTAGGAATTATATAGAGAGGTGCATTAATAAGGCCAGGTTAAAGCAAAGAGACAGAAAACTGCCATTTCTAGCAACAAGCTTTAAAGCCTAAATTCTCTTCTCCTCTCTCCCGCACAAAACAATTATTTTGTTTTATTAAAACAAAATACTAGCCTTCAGCTGCTTTAAGTGATTCATGCCTTGCTTTATACGAGATTAATCAATAAAACAAAAAATAGTTTGTTCTTACATTAAATGGGAGTTTCTTGCAGATATCTTTGTATGAAGTGCATTACCAAGTTTTATCTTTCCCCTACAACTTAAACAGTTAATTGAATTTGAAATCATAGATGAATTTTAAAATCATAGCTAACCTGTGTTCTGCAGGACTGCAAAAAGGTTATTGAAGTGTTACCTTTAAAAAAGATTTTTAAATCTCTTCTCACCTGTGTATGACCTCTCTGAAGTATTGTCATTTGAGTAAGTGAAAGTAATCTGTTGTAAATGGATTTTTTGCTTTTGTTTTGTTCCAGGCAATGAGTGCAGCTGTCTGCTTTATGATTGATGGTAAGTACCTATTAGCATAAATTATTTGCCATGACTTTTATATGTAAAATACTTTGACATGCAGCTTGTTTTACTCTTGAAAAATACTCACATTAATTTGTTATTTGAGTCCCTTTTTCATGAGTGCTTTTATCAGTCTTTTATCTTTGTTCCAGTGGTACAAGTAACTCCTTTTAAAGAATAAAATTACTAAATACTGCTTCAGTTAGCCATATTCAAAATCACCTCTGAGGTTTTAATTGTGGGAGACATTTGTCCTTGGACTCTTGCTGATGTTTAAAGCAAAAACTACAGGAACTGTACCTACAGCTGTGGGAAGAGGATCTCACCTCTCCCTTTTCTCTGCCTGACACAGCTTCAATTCCACCCACACTGGAGTTTTGCAGAAAACTGGACAGCATTGTTGGGCCTCAGCTCACGGTGTTGGCATCAGACATATGTGAACAATACAACATCAACAAGAGAATATCAGGGTTTGTACCACACTTCTTTTCCTCATTAGCTGGTGAAAAGTTAGGTTAAATGAACTGCTTAAATAAGGGCAACATGAACCCAAATTTTGAAAGTGTTAATGGTGTACTTAAAGCAATGCTTGTCTACTTTTCTGCATCTTAAGTGTTTATAAAGTTCACATTATTGCATATTTGGGTCTCCCTGAAGTAACAATAGCTGTTACTAATTTAGGAACAAATGTTTATTGTCTGGTTGAAATGGGAATTTTAGTGAGTAAGTTATTTGGTTGCAGTGGAAGCTTTACCATTGAGGACTTTTCCAGAATTACTGCTTCTTGAAGTGTTGCCATGTATAGTAGGTGAGAAAAAAGGTCTTTTATTTTTCTATTTTGCACGACTAAGGTAATTACTTGAGGGGCAAAAAACAGTCAAAAGAAAAAGGATGCTAATGCTTTGGAAAATATCTTTCACTTGGAACTACAGCTTGACTTGCAATAAAATTGCATTTATTTTTTGATAGGTTTATTAGTTGGGGAAGCAAGAACAGTATCCCATATGGCAACATAAAAGGAATTCAACCAGAGAAGTGTGTGAGTGAACTCAGTCAGTGGTACCATCCCAAATCAGCAAAATCGCACAGGATAGAATAGGATGTGCTTGAAATTGTGCCAATCTACTAAATCTTTAAACTTGGGGTTTTTAAATGTCATCTGGGACTGGCTTTGGCAGCTTTAACTCTTTAAAAGTTTAATGCCACGGTGTCCTGAAAACATGATACAGTTCCTTGACACTAATGCATGTGGCTGACAGCGAGCAGGGGTATCTGGTTGTTTGCTAAGGTGAGTGGTGTCATCACAGTATCTCCTGGTTCTAAATAATACATTGCCTCAAGTACCACTTTTTGGTCAGTCTGAATGTGTTGTGACTTCTACAAAAAATTACAGCTCTAGGTTTTCATATTAACTTCATAAAAGAGGAAATGGAGGAAGACTGCCAAGGCAGGAGATTGAAAATAGTCTCTTGCTTGGCCCACACAAATGATGTTGGGGGAAATCTAATTGCCTGGATCAAGAAAGAGTTTGTTCTCTTGTTTGTAACAAATAACAAAAACGTGAATAGAAGATGACTTATTGCTCAAATTAAAGACCCAGGATCTATGCAAATCAGCTTGAACTGGCATAAGGGAGAGCAGCAGGAACAAAATGGGGCCAGGAAAAAACAGCTCATTAGAAAAATGCAAATTAATTACTACTCTGAAGTGGGACAAGGCCTTTAGACTCCCCTGTGTGTATTTACTGGCAGTCTGAGTGGCAGAAGGGGAAATAGTGGCTGGTTCTGCAGGCTCAGTTGTCTTGGTTTGCTTTTTTTTAAGTGTGTTAAAATGAATTTCAATCCCACAAGTCTCTTCAATGTGAAGATAAGTCCAGGCTGTGTAAGCTAGCTTTGCACTGGCTCGCTACCCTGTCTCTGGCAAGCCTGTGCTTAGAGAGCTTGTTGGTATTCACAAATTACTTTTTTTTTTTTTATCTTCCTAGGGCTGAGAAGGAACCTCAATTTAAGTTTATCTATTTCAATCACATGAACCTGGCAGAGAAAAGTACCATTCACATGAGGAAAACACCCAGCGTATCACTTGCATCTGTTCACCCTGACCTCATGAAGATTCTCGGTGACATCAACAGTGACTTCTCCAGGTAATGCTTAACTATTAAGTAGTCTGTAACTCCTACTGTCAAGCAGATTTTTTTTTCTTTGCAAAGGAGTGGCACTTTCCAGTCTCTTTGTTGATGGCTGGCTATTCATGTTTGGTATTTTGTGTTGGTTAGGAGTAGTCCATCTTAAAAAAAACAACTTCTACTGACCTTTTAAACAAAAAATTAAAAGAGGGCCAGGGTCTCTATCAAAGGAAATATCTCATCTATTGGAAGTTTCAGTGTAATCATAGAAAGTGGGATTGGCAGCACGAGAGTCTGTCTAATCTGGGAAAGCAGTGTAGAAGGACAGGGACATTTGCTTCTGCCTGTGTCATACCTGCCCTGACACAGCTGGTGGCTTCTAGGGGTGAGACAATGGATGAAATGCAAACCTTGCAGTTACTGCAGCCCTGCTGATAGAGAAGATAAGTGGCTTCTTATCCATGGGTATCATGCTGCAAGGTGAGAGAGACCCTCTGTCACTATAAAAGTTAAGAAAGAACATGACAATGCTGAATGATTGGAATGCCCCTAATTTTAATTAGCAAAAATCTGTTTTCCCACTCTGCTTAAGGACAAGGTTTCCATTTTTCTATAAATGAAGAAAGTGTGTTTCATCATATTATGGAAGTACTGGGTTAGTTACAGCTTTATAGAAGATATCCAGTTGTTGAGCACAGTTTAGGTCTAGGTTTAACAGTTCTGTGAAAGCTTAGTATCACCACCCTATCTCCAGCTTTTTATTTGGTCCCTGTGTAGCAAAACCTCATTCTGTGAAGTGTGTCCTTACCCAAATGGAGGAGAGATGCTTTCTTCAGTGTTTTCACTGCAGTGTTTGGTTAATGAAAAAATTCCTGATTGACACATTTGGGAGTGTCCTAAGCAGACATTTCTCAAGCCTTCAACCTGGACTGTTAGATGGCCAAGTTAGAACTGGTGTTTTCTTTGATACTGCACAACCACAATTTCTGACATTGAGCTGTCCTAATGATTACAGTTAATGTTATTGAAGATGAACTTGCTGGCACCTTCTTTACTTTTTAAAACTTCTTTCAGAGTTGATGAAGATGAGGAAATTATTGTGAAGGCAATGAGTGATTACTGGGTAGTTGGCAAAAAGTCTGACCAGCGAGAACTATATGTTATTTTGAATCAAAAAAATGTAAATCTGATTGAAGTTAATGGTAAGGATTGTTTCTTATTACCTTTAAATACAGTTAATTCTAAAATGTCTGTCCCTAGAGAAGTAATACAACCCATCTAAATAGAAATCTAGAGAGGGACTGATCTTTGATGGAGCAGGATGCCTAAGGTTTTAGTCTGCCTACTACCAGCTGTGAAAGGACAGTATAAATATTCAGCAGGCATTCTTAATTATTAATCAGTAATTCTTCCTCCTTCAAATAATAGAGGACAGCACCATGAGCTTAGTTTAGGTGTAATTTAAAAAGTGTATTACAGATGAGAGATGAATATGTTTACATCTATTTATCAGTGATTAGGATTCGTTACTGACACATTGTGGCTGTCCTGTCAGTGATCCTCATCCATTACTCTCTTGTTTCTAACATGGTTTTGAGAATGATTTACTATGACTAAGAGTGAGAATTAACATTAAGATGCAATATGCTTTTATATTGCTATTTCTCTAAAAATCTGTTTGAATCTTGCAGCAATGCTAGGGCTCTCCATTTTAACAGGAGGCAATGTGCTCGCTTAGACAATGGGAAAGAATTCTTATCTTGCCAGGACCAAGGCCTAGCAACCTACATTTTAGAAAGAGGAATGAGCTGTGTAACTTTCTGTAACTGTCTTTCAGCATCAAACCTACCATATAGAAACAGTGAGTGTTTCTGTGCCTGATAGACCTAGGAAGTTTATCAGTCTTCCAAATAACACAAAGCAAAAGTTTTGCAGATTTGATTTACTGCAACAGAATATCCTAATTCCTCCTTTCTCTGAAAAAGGGGTTATAATATACTTCCCTTAATTATGTGTTAAGCTGAGTCTGCTGCTATTACAGTGTTTGATGAGAGGCCCATCATTTACACTTAAACCACTTTCAGACAGCGGGAGACACTAGACTACACTTTCTCCTATTGAAGAGAGAGTAACATTAAGTGTATTTTTACATTAGAAACTCTTAGGGATTTTTCTGTTTGAATTCAATTATTTTCTCCATGACAATCCCCAAGGTTTTTCTTGAGGAGATATCTGTAAAATTCAATACTGATTTTTTTTTTTTTTTTTTTAAAAAGAAGAAGTGAAGAAACTTTGTGCAACACAGTTTAATAATATATTCTTCTTGGATTGATCTGCAAAGGGCTGATTTATTGAAGATGTCAATGTCAGGCACTTGTTCAACATGAGAAGTTATTAGTCATATTATTGACTGGAATAATGACAATAGTAAAGCAATACTTGCTTTGTAAGAATCAAAATTTCTACTAAAATCTGTAAACTCTGACCATAAAATTTTTAAATTTTAAAAATGTTTATGTGCAAACTAATTAAAAACCAGTCTGAATTCATCTGTACCATTCCATTCTAATATGTTATGTGAATATTTTGCTGAAAAATAAAACTAATAATTGTTACACTTTAGAAGCATCTGTGTTCATTGGCATTGTGTAACTTCCTGCTGATTTACCCAAAATCCTGGTTTAAAAAACTGCTTCCTCTGAAACCATCAATTCTTGTGCATATAATTTAGCCATTCTTACAGCTTCCTACAAGTGTGGGTTTTCTGGAATTGTTTTGGTTTGGGGTGGGTTTTTTTTATTTGAAGAGTGCTTGCTTGAAGCTTCAGCAGTTACCAGCAAAGGATTTATTTTTTTTCTTTTTGTCAGCAGTTGCCTGGGTACCTGTGGGTGCTGCCTTCTCTGCCTCTTCCTCCTCAGGCTCTGCTGCCTTGTGAGCCTCTTTTCTTTTGTGAGGGTTCTCTCCTGGGGGCCTCTTTTTTCAGCTGGAGACTTCTCCTGGGGAGGAGTGTCTTGCAAGATGACGAGGATCCTTTCCTGGGCTGGACACTCCCATGTATCACAGCTGCTTCTTGCCTTTTTGCCTCTTCTACTTCTTTTTCAGCAATAAGTCTGCATGAACAAAATTTGAATTTAAGGTACTCTAAGAGAAGGAAGACAGGTTTCCACTGGCTCAGCAACTCCAGCTCTAGTCATAGTATGAGCAGCATAAACTGCCACAGTGTAAAGAAGCAGAAAGTATTTAATTACCCCCTCAAGTCCAATATGTCTTAACTTCCTTTCCACAGAGCAGGAACCAAGTGCCAGGAAACACCAGAGCTAAGTTTGTAACCTGAAAACAGCCTGTATTTGTTACTCCAGCCAGTAGCAGAAAGCACATGAGTTATAGTCTGTATGTTACTAATGAAACTTGTGTGAGTTTGTTTTCCAGGTACAGTATGCTATATTACTTTCTTAAGCACACTTCTTATTTTCAATTATTTTGGTAGTAGAAGATAAAGGATAACAGTACTGCCAGACAAGATTTAACGCTCACCTTTCCAGCTCTTCAGCCTGGATCTTTCTCAGATCAGCTAATTCAGCATCCTGCTTTTTTTTTTCTTTTCTTTTATTTCTCAGCACTATTTCATGTTCAAACGCAGGGAAGAACTTAGTTGTGAAGAAGGATTCCACCTGACACATCCAGAAACTAAATAGCTCCTTTTGTTCGTCTTTATCTTCTTTTGCTTCATCTGCAAGATGTAAATTAAACGTGTTTATTTAGCAGGGCACTTCTATTTCAAATGTGTTTTGGACTACAATATTTCAGCTCTGATACTCTGCAAAGGGAAGGTCTGGCTTCTGCACAGTACAGAGGATGAAAGGTGTGAGACACTTTGAACTGAGAGGGGGTGGCCCTTTTGTGAGGCTTCAGTGACTTGGCTTTAGGAATGGCACAAAAAGACAATGAGCTCTTCCCTTTAATCCTGTGGTAAGAGTCTTCTGCAGTAACCTGATGACAGTTCAGTGTTTGTGACTCCTGTGCATGAGGTAAGGGATGAACAAACATGACCACTGAAAGGACAGAGGTGTGTGCCAGTGTCCCTTGTCATGTCAGGAAACAGGCCAGGCCCAGGTGATGGGCCCTGAACGGTTTTTCAGACGTGTAATGTTTCACCCATCAGATTTCAGCAAAAGAGCTGATGACTACACCAAGATCCTTGTCTACCTCTGCTCTTGGATTTGAGTTCTGTAGCAGCAGAAAACATTTAACAAACACAAAGACCAACCCAGATGAGATCTGCTAATCAGCTGGAAGGAAGATGGTACAGAAAACTACGACCCTCAACATACCAAAGTGCTTTTATGAACATCTCTTCTGCCTGAATGTTGGCCTGTCCTAAGATAAGGCATCTTATCCCAGCTAGTGTAGCACACCACTAATAATAATTCTTATTCTAAGTAGAAGCAGCAGGACATGGCAGTAATACATTTTATTTGTCCAGGACACTCCACGGACAGGCTTGCAGTTTGAGCTTCTCACAGAGTAAATACAAATTACAGCTTATAGATGCCCTACAAATTAAACGCAGCATTTTAAAATTTGGAAAACTATGTAAGTTGGTACTTAAATTTCTCATTTAATTATGAAGCTTTATTTTCTTTTAAAAAATATTTTAAATTTAAAAATAAAATCTTCCTCCAGAATTAATGCTCATTTACTGCCCTCTTGTGACAAGCTGAAATCTGTCAATACAAATAAAACTTCACAATTCAAGAACTACAAAATATTTGTGTGTATGTGTTAAGTCCTAAAACAGTAGGATTGTTTTTTACCTATCAATTCCTTTTCTGGACAAGAATCTTGTTCTTCTTTTACATCCTTGTTTGGCAATGACACGTCATCTTTGCTTTCTCCAGGAGTCATGGAAAATGAGAGAACAGTTTCTGATATTGCAAAGAAAGAAAATTAAAATTACTCAGCCTTTAATCCTGTGCATGAAATTCCAAGTTTGATCTTCAGCACAAACAAATATAGATTGTCATCTGCCCTGAAAGTTAGATCTGTGGTTAAAGTACTTTTGAAATGATGAAAAATTTGTTTCTAATGAAGGCACAAGGCAGAGTTCAAGCTCCTGTTTCCATGCCCACATGAGTGGAACAGAACAGGAAGAATTAAGGTTTTAAAAGCCTTTAAAGTTATTTTAAAGGAAAAAGTGATAGCTTCTAATTAAAAGCAGAAAAAATTCAGAGATTCCAACTTGTCCAGCCATCTGTGTACAGCAGGTATGGAAAGCTAAACATAAACTTTGTCATAATTGCCAAACTGAATGGAGCTGCCCTCTGTAACTGCAATACATCAACTGTTTCCATGACCATCTCCTGTTTAAAGTTGGAGAAAAAGTGAATCTCCTCAAGCCATTTTATACAGTACTCACCCAGTAGAGAAGGTTGATGAGCAGGCTTTGTGTCTTCACAAGGGCTTGGCGGCTGGCAAGAAGTTTTAAATTCAGTTACTAAATGTCTGGGCCTGTGTTCAAATCACAAAGTGAAATCCCAAGTCCCTTTGAGTCATGCAAATTCCCATTTCCAAAGCATTCTGCCAGCCAAATGCATTCTGAAATCATGCCTATCTCAAAATATTTATATGGCAGGAATGTTTCACCTTTTCAAGTATTACCAGGAAACACTTTACCTTCAATACCAGCCAGGCAAGTAGGATTATCCTATTTCAGAGCTAGGCTAAGACAGCACTACAGAAAATGAAAGCTCCTACTCATTGACCTGTTCCTCTGTTCTTACATGTTGCTCTACATATTGTTCATTTATTGTTCATCTGCTCCTGAGTGTAGAGCTCAGCTGCCTCAGAAGTGTCATCAGTTATGTCTGTACCAATTATACTTCTGCTGCACTAATGAAATGTAACACAAGAAAAATTTTGGCCTCAGTACATTTAAATAAAGATTTTTTTTCCTTTTTTTTTTTTTTTTTTTTACTATTTTAACTGGACCACTTTATTGTGCAACTGTGTCACTGATTGCAGTGATGTGGGAACAACTGGCCAAAGAATGGGAAATGGCGATATACGGTGTCACTACTGGCTCACAGAGGCTGTGAAATTATGTTTGTGACTACTCCTTAAATTAATAAAAATGCTTTAATCTTGTGCAGAATTCCAAATAATAACAATTCTAATTTATGTCGTCAACTACTCTGTATACACAAATTGCACCAGTGTCACAGGCAGCATCTCTCAACCCACAAAATCCTTATTCAGAAGTTTAGCAAAAAGAAAAAGAGGACAGCTCAACTGCTGGCAAACAGCAAGGCTTGCTACATATAAGAGCTGCAATGCCATTTTTACAGGGCAATTTCAGACATCCAGCTTAATGCAGAAGAGAAATATCTTTCACCAGCCAACCAATCTGTCAGTTCCCCTTGAGAAGTACTCTATGTGTATTTACAGTTATCTAGGAAAACGTGCCAATATGTTAAAACTGTCTACACTGATGTTACAATTTAAGGTACCAACAAACAGAAAAAGCAGAAGGACCCAATCAAGTATTTGTTTATGCAAAAAGGGGAAATTGGTTTCCATGGTCAGGAAACAGACCATTTTCAGGGCCTGACTTCACTCTCTCAGTGGACACATAATAACATTGAACAGGTCTGCATCAACTTTACCTGAGGTGGAAAATGTTCCGTGACAGATGCAGCTGAGGTTTTCTTGGAGAACTCCTTGATTTCAAAGCTACTTCTTTTCTGATTATCTTGAGCTTCTTTCTTCAGGATCATATCCTCAGTAACATGCACCAATGCACATTCAAGAAGAGCTTCAAAAAATTCCAGAAAAACCATCTAGAGTAAAACAAAGGCAGTGGTAAATTAGTTCATTTTCATAAAATCTCTTCATTAACAGGCCTATGTACCTGAGCAAGCAAAGAATTCAGAAGTGGTAGCAAAGTCCCTCTGGCCTCATTTGTCTAGTTAAACATTCCTTCTGAAGAAAAACTGAAAATAGCCAAAGCTCAAAAAAATCAGGAGAGGATATGATGCATTACACTTTATACAAGTCATACTCAGTTAAAACACTGCACTGATTTTTGTTGTATCTGGAGCTATGAGAAATTTCTCTAACAAGTAACTCACAACTACAGCTATTACCTAAAACATCATATTTTAATTGCATGGGATGCTGCTAGAAATCTCAAGAGTGGGGTTATAATGGATTCCTTAGTTAGACTTCCACTGTGTGTTCAGTTTATCAGATCCTGATTAAAACAAATTCAGTTGTCATTTACAAGAGGCCGCTGCTAAGTAAGAGTTAATTTTTTAAGGGTGAAAAACCTCTATACTAGGCCAGTTCTCAGGTAGCACAAGAGTCTTCTACAGTCACTACTTGACCTCACTGAGGTGGCAGCACCTCACATGTCACTAATCAGGTTTCTTGCATCACTAGATTTTCAGGATCAGTGGGTTCACATCTTAATTAACAATCCACCTTAACAGCCTCAGCAGCTGGAAGAGCAGTGATCAATCCCTCTGTGATTACTGCATATCCATATTGTCAGGCAGCTCCCCACAGACAGAACTCCACTGGAAATGGGATTTCCCTGCAGGGATTACGGCACTCCTAAGGACCTCTCTGAATGGTCAAGTATGCTGAGACTGTGCTAAGACAAGGTAATTAAGAAAAACATAGAAGTACATGAACTAAACTAAAAGATATAAGCAGAACAAAGGAAGACAAAAATAGAGGCTCAAGTTTTACTCTATTTTTAAAAAAATAAATTCTTTTTTCACCTGTTCCAACAGGAACAACAGTTCTCAAAAGCAATTTTAACTGTTCCTGTAGCAACGGACTAGGTTTTATTTTCCATACACACCTCCAGCTCCAGGTTGACAGCATAGATGCCAGGTAGGCAGGCAACTTTGACAAGTATTCCCAGAACTCTTGGAGCAGTTAATTGTTCATTGAGAAGTTTAAGATCCTGGGTAAGAATAAATATCACATGTTAACAGCACTTAAGGTGTTCCCCACATGGACCTAATCTACCTCCCTTTCAAGCCTTTGCCAAAATTTCTAGTGGTTTCAAATGATACTTCCACATATATCATTAACAGAAGAAATTCTAGTCCTATTGAAGCCAATGGGCATTTTCCCTAGACTGCAAAAGCAGTGTTACAAAAAAACCTGAGAAAGCTCATAAACAAAAATATAAAAATTAAAATTTTGCTATCCGATCTTTTCTTCATGAAAATTGCTCTGAAGTCAAGCACCCAAAGCCTAGGCATATCAGGGGGAATTGTCCTCTACCTTGATACTAATCTTGATCTGTCCCCAAATTACTGTATTTTAGTAAAGAATCTCATGCTTTTCTTGTAGTAAATGTATTATTGTAATGGTTTACAGTGTTATTTCAGTACCTTTAACAATACAACATGTTCATATATACAGTTTATAGATAGGGCAGAGGGAGACACAGTGGGGACCACCAAAAATATTTATATTCCCTTAAACAATTTGTCTAGTATTTGATAAGAGTAAAAAATTAGGATTCAGATCCTGAAAAATGCATAAATAACAGTAGATAATAGAACAACTGTTCCTTTACTGCTCCTTGGACAATTTGCACAAATAACCTCACTCCCATGTTTTCAACTGTGCAGAAGCCACAGGGACTATTTTAAAAGGCTCAAATAAACTGAACAAAGAAAGCACATCTAATCACACACACACAAAAAAAATTAGATTATTACATCCAACATCCAGAGGAACTGCCTCAGCTTCAGCGTGGGTTCAAATGGAGATCTGGGACATGGTCTACAAAAATCTCCATATATTTCCCAGCATTTCTCATGGTAGCTCATGGCAAAAGATGTGAATTCTTCATCAGAATATAAGATACCTTTCAAAATGAATTGGGAAAAAATAACATTAACAATAAAACTGCAATGCATGTGATACTAACTGATGAATTCTGCAATAGAATTGCTTACCTTGGACATGACAGGCAGAGGGAAGAACATTCCTGGACATCATTTCTAAGAAACACTTCTGCAGATGAGGAACTTTGTCTCTACAGTTGAAACAAGAACACTCTTGTCTGGGAAGATTCAAATTGATTACACTGAAATAAATTTCACTAAAAGACAAAACTTACTTGTACTCTTCATGATAGATATGAAATGCCAGGTGAACAAGGTAGGATACAAATGTTCTGAACAGTAATAAATCACTTGGATCATGTATCTGCTTCAGTGGTTTATGACCTGAAAAATAAAAAAAACAAACAAATTTCTACTGTTCTCATGTATATTGAAATGCTTATAGGCATAATGATTTGTCAGCCTTTCTTATCCTCTCCATCTGCACCTATCGCAGTGTAACAACACTCCTGGAAGACTCACACCAGACAATGCAGCACTTCAAACAAATCTCAAGGGAGAACTGTCCACCTGTAGCTGGATCTTGGACAATTCTCTTTCTAGAAATGCAGCCACTCAGCATATATAGAAATAAAAGGAGATTCAAAGTTGGAGTTAAACTCTTCACATACTGAGGACAATGCAGGTCTAAAGGGATTTGATTGATTAACTGGCTCTATGGAAGACAAAAAAAAAATACTACATGCAAACCAAAGTTAAGAACATTGAAAAAAAAATTTTTATCTTACTTCTTTCTCAAAATTCTCTCTCTCTTAAATAGTAATGGCAAGACAAGGGTGAATATATATTTTGAACAGATGCCTCTTCAGTGCAATTTTTTATGTTGTATTTTAATTTTGTACTTTCTCACCTAAGGACCAGAAGTGCCCAGAGAAGTGTAAATTGATCCACTGAGAACTCACAAGCACTGAGGTACTGACTCAGGACCACTTAACTCCCAGAGCTGAGCTGCCAGGAGAACTTGCCACTTCAACTCGCTACAGTCAACTATTAAAATTCCTCCATTCTCAACCGTGCTCACCAGGAATACAAACCTCTCAACAGTCGATCTATTTCAGCGAGAGTTACAGAAGAGAGATGAAATTTGCAGTCCTTCAGAAACCTCCAAAACTGCAGCATAGTCAGGGTGTAAGTGCCATCAGAAGAAGGAGCATAGCCTAAGGTACTGTAGAAGCAGTAGGCTTTTCTCAATTTTGAAATATGTCTCAACACAGCCAATTCTACCTAAATAAAGCAGGATATGTTTTCAGCATCATCTCAAAGCAAGAAGAGATCAGTTTGTATTGATCCTGTAACTGGGCAGATAATTATTTGACATTGCAACTTAGCATATCCCTGGCTAAGCGTTCACAAAAGCATTACTCAAAAGTAATGATTCAACTCAAAAGGCTTTTGGTGACTGATAAAAACAGATCATCCTCTGTCAGCGGACAAACCTTGGAGTAGCTAAAGCTGGTTGCTCAATGTCCTTCCAGATATGTTAACCTATTTTTAATTGGCCTTTTTTAGTGGAAGCTCAGATGAGACAATACTGTCTATTCATTGTTTTTGCTTTTCTTTTTTCATGGCCTTCAGATTTTCAACAAGTGTTTAATGGAAAGAGTTACTTTAACACAAATAAACTAGAAATAAAGCAGTATGAAACACAGTAGAGGTTAAAACTGAAAGTATCAAATAGTAGACTTATACTTGTTGCATTTCTTCCTCTCTGTCTTTCTTTGTGAACAAGACAAGCAGTGACGATAAATCCAGATCAATATCTGATCCCAGAAAATAAGTCTTTCCGAAGGCATTAATGACTCTGGTCCTTTCTACCAAGCAAATAAAATAAGTTAGAACAAATTAAAACAAAGCTTAATATATGCACACAAAGAAAAACAGAATGTGTATTATTTCTTCTTATATTTCTGACTTGGAACAATAGATTCCTTCACAGTAAGAAGCAGTGATTTCACAACCAACAGCAGAACACCTGAAGAGAAATTCTGTCAAATCAGCCCCTAATTAAAAGGAAATGCAGATATTAAAAAAGCTGTGAAACTGTCAGACAATAGTTCCATTCATTACAAGATGTAATGTGGATATGTCACTTCACTCCAAAGGTCACTCACAGGAAACACAGCATGGAAGGAAAAGCCATGACTCCCATTTCTATCTAAATTCTTTCAAGAAATATGTCTGGTCTTTGAGTATGTATAAATAGTTTCATATTCTAGTAAAATGGAACAACAAAATGTGAACTAAGTAAAATTTGTTTTGTTAAGCTGCTCACTAATGGCAGAATGTCTTCTTGGGCTAGTGGCTCTCCGGTTCTTGGCTTTCACAGCAGACCTTTGACAAGCAGGATAGTTCACGAGACGATCATTTACAAACTCTCCTTCAAATCTGTGACCATTCTTGAAGAAAAAGTTGCCCTACAGACAGATTAATTATAAATATAAAACAAAGATTTAAAAAACCCTAAACCACTAATTCTCTCATTCAAATTTCCTTTTCAGAATCTTGGCTAAAACGCAATATATGAAATAAAATACAGCAAAATAATTTTTTCTGCCCTCTTTTATAATGCATTTTGTCACCTATTAAATAGGTACACTGTTGGGATAAAGGACTGACTATATATTTGTTTGATTTTGAAAAGTATTTCTCCCCCATATAGAAAGACTTGTTTGTACTCCTTAGGTTGCATATGTAGCACTCCACTCAGAGTTTTTTCAAAAGTCTGTTTTATGAGAGGTTTTAAGAACTTCTCTGTGCAAGGACAGCTTGAAATCCATTAGCTCACAGTGGAAGTGTGAAATTCTGACCAACCACTGCAAAACTCAAGATGCACCTATGGAACCGAAAATCTCCACAGAGGAATATATGTCTTTGTATACCCAAAACATATCTAATTACAGAGTCAGCCTGTGTCCTTGGAAGGACTCCTGCTTTCAGTGGACTCTCTGCCCTTCCTGTGGGGATTCCATCCACACTGCAAACTGAATGCAGTTTGCTGTACAGAAATCTAGAGATCCACTATACAGAGCAGAACAGCTTGCTCTGCTGTTGTCTGTAGTTCTGACAATACTCACCTTGCCATGCTTCTTATTATGCACCCATTCTCCACTGTACACTGCTCCATCAGCATAAAGAAATGTCCCATGTCCATGGCGCTCCCCTTTTACAAAATCTCCCACATATTCATTCCGTAGAGGATACTGAGACAAATCCATTTTCTTCAAAAACCATGTGTGTATGCCAGAACCATGCTGAAAAAAATTTCTGTGTTTAATAAACAGGTCCAGACTTTGGCAATTCTCTGAAATAAAAACCCTCACCTGATGGCTGCAGCAGGGACAGAACTAGATCCTACAAAGGTGCATAGGAGAAGCACCCAGAGGATGCACTGCATCAACACATACTCGAGCAAGCTCTACCATGGGACTCCTAAAGATACCCACCCTTCCTCCCTGAATCCTTCTGTAGTGCACAGCCAGGTGAGGAACACCATGCCACAGAGTCAGGATGGTCCACAAGCTGGACTCATTGACAATTTTAGGCAGAGTGAAAAGACATAGCAAGTAACTCACCTTCTTTTTGAAACAGAATAGCAATAACAAATGGAAGGAACTGAAAATGCCACAAAATTATCTTCCTTCATAAAAGTTTTCCAAGAGGGAACAGTGTGGATTAGTATTTTATAGGTAATGCAGAAATAAACTGCCACATATACCTACTGCTGAAGTCATAGCTCAAACTAAGTCACAAACACTTCTTTAACTTATTTTTTTAATTGAAAAATGTTTCTATTTTCCACTGGGGAATGAAATCTGGATTTTATAAGACTAAATCAAAATCCTTTAACAATTTAAATATTGCTAACATAAGACTCAATTTACAATAAAGAACATGTTTGTGCTATCTCAACTGGCAAACTCAACTGGCAAAAATCATACAAAGCTCCTTTGATGTTGCACAAAACTCCCTGTTTAGCTTTCCTAGATTAGTGGACTAAAGCACAGTTTCTGGGGAAGAAATTAATACCTGTAAGCCATACTGCCACTCTCCTTCGTACTCTTGCTTATCTGTCAGCCATATCATTTTTCCATATCCATGCTGTAGATTTTTCTTCCAATGACCAAAATAGGTATTTCCAGATCTGTAACTGCAAAAAATTAATAGAAGTTAATTAATATCAAATTCTGTGCTGATCTTATGGAAGGTTTATGTGAAACCTCATTGCTAATAAATTTATAATTTATTAAGGCTAAATATAAGCATTAAACTGAAAATTGACTCACTATGACATGGACATAGAGGTTTTATTGTAGGCACTGTTTACCTCTTACTTTTAATTTAGAAATCACTAAAAGTATTAACCAGCTCTTTTTCCCAAAATGTCTTTGCCATAGTTATTAACAATATTTTTTAATATATTATTCTATAGATAAATCATTTATTCATAAGGCAGCTTCATCCACTCAAATCAGTCAAGTCTGTTTGGTTTTCAGTACTTAATTGTGATTTACCAAAGCTGATTTGGGATTTTGTCTTAAGCTATTCTTTTGTGTGAATGGTCAGTAGAAATACTGCACATAAAAATAAACTTCTAAAGGTCTGTTCTGTTATCATAAAGCATTTTGTACATTTTTTTATTCCACTGCAGAAGGTACACGCTTCTATAAAATGACAGCATTTGTACCCACTTTAAACAACACAAGAAACTGCAACATAATACTCAAAAATAAAAAATGTTGAGGGCAAGAACAAGTGTTACCATATTTACCGTCTGAATCCCCATCCTTCTCTGACATTATTTACCCAATCACCTGAATACCAGGATGTATGTTCCTGATCATAATAAATTTCACCCTGAAACAAATAGCACAGTCAGTTTAAATACCTAAATATTCATCTACCTGAATAAAACACCACATGCAAATGATATTATGCTTGTAATCACCTTCTAATACTTAGAACATCATTTTGACTCACTGTACTGAAAGCAACAGAAGGGATACAATTAAATAAAGAAAACAAGCTCTTTTGATTAATATTAGGTAAGACCTTAAACACCAAATGTTCAAAAGAAAAATCCCATTACATTACATCAAAATCTACCATGTTTTTCAAACCTTTTGGAAATACTTTAAGAGAGCTAACCTTGGTATCTTAATTACAATACTCAGTCTGAGGTAGATCAGTTTACTGACCCATTCAGACTTTGATTTCCAACAGTAGGTCTACAGTATTAATTGTATTCACAACCTCCGAAAAGGTCCCTAGGAAAAATCCCTACACAGGATAAGACCATGCAACAGAACAAAACACTTTAGCACTTGCTGTTCCTGAAGGTGTCACCCGAGCCCATGCTCTCATTTAGTTTTTACTGACCTTTCCATGTCTTTTGCCATTGCACCAATAACCAATGTAAGAAATTGGATGAGTACCGCTCCTGAAAACTCCATACCCATGCCTAAGTCCATCTTGGATTGATCCTTCGTAAACACTGCCATCATTCCAGGTGTAACGGCCATTATGCATCGGCACATTCTTAACAAATGTTCCCTGAAAGATTAAAGTCAACATCCAAATCTAAGACTTTCTGTTTCCTAGCCTTCTGGGACAGGTCAGGCTTGTAACTGAAATCACTGCCACAGCTCTGCAGTTGCCACCAGTACTGTACCAATTACTGCAACTTTTCTACTTTCCCTCATTTTGCACATCTAACTGGGTGCAACTGTGTGCAGTTATAACTTAAATTTTACTTTACCTCGTATTTTACTCCATCAGCCCATGTGTAAGTCCCTTCTCCATTCATACATCCTTCAGAAAATAGACCCTTCAAAATGAAGAGATTAGTATCATTTGCAGATTTACTCTGAAGCTTACAGTGAGTGTAAGATTTTAAAAGAATGACACATTAATTCTCCTCCAACTACTAGTTTCAAATGAAGAGTTTTAATGCTTCTTGGTGCTTTTAAGAGAAAACTTACTCTGCTATTTTTTTAAAAATTTATACACTCACCTTGTATGTATTTCCTCCCTCAAAACATATAAATCCTTCGCCCTCATAGAATTCATCAACTTTTTCACCTTCATAGCTACAAAGAAAACAAACTAAAGATGAAGATTTCAAGTCACTACCAATAGATCTAAATCACATAAATGACCATATAATCACATAAAGGATCATATAAATGATCATAAATGACCTTTGATTTACCATGGCCTACACACAGATCAGCTGATGCATCTTGTGTAATGAACAACAAGAAAATTTTCAATTTTTTGAACCTTTTTTGTAACACTCCACATAATTATTGTGTTGCCTCAGACCCATATTTCCTTCAATTAGGAAAAAAAAAGCACATTGGTAGCATTTTCTACCTTACAGTCAGGCATGCTGGTATATGAAACATTACATACAAACATCACACTGAAATACAAAAGGATTTTGTTAACATTGCCATTCACCTGCTTCCTCGGTTTAGGATATTCTGAAGAGATATGAGCAGCCTTAAGCGTTAAAAGGCAGCAACAACCCAAGATTACATAATATATTTTCCTTCACTAGTTATCTGTATACTTTAACAAAACTTCACTGAAGGTGAACAAGCTGAAAGAATGAGGGTTTGGGCAGGCAGAGAGCACCAGCAGCACTCTAGGATGCAAGAATGCAGCAGAATTCCACATGTACATCTCCTAAGGTGCCACTGCTACTAGGTCTGAATAACCTGATTCTTGGCTTCAAATCAGTGTTTGTATGACACTGGCTACAGCAGAGATACTTAAATGAGAGTTCTTGACTTCACTGCTGTGTTTGTAACAAGTGTACCTTTTTATAATCACTTGAGCAAGAACAGGCTCTTCATGGATGGCGGGAACAGGCTGGACTGGTGGTTCCTCTACCTCTTTATCTGGTGCCTCTGGAATTGCCGGAATTTCTTCACTCAATGACTCACTCCACAAATCTGGCAGCGTTGTTAAGCCACTATCAGTTGTAGTATCTAAAGATTCTTCTGACTTCTCAACAGCTTCCTTCTTATCATCCTTCCTGGCACCTTTCTTCTTGCCATCTTTCTTCTTGCCGTTTGTCATAGCTACTGAATTGTCTCAGTGTGTACTTCCCTTCTGAAAAACGAAAATTTATTTCTGTCTTACTTACATATTTTTAATCTATAAGCTAGTTAAAAAAAACAAAAACACAGACAACTACCAAAAAAGAAAACCCCAAAAAACACAAACCCACAGTATTTCTGTAATTATTACAAATGCATGTATTAAAGTAATCTGTGTAACAGCAATTCCTCAAGCCAGTAGTGTCAGCTTGTGGCAGGCAGGTCACAAGGTTAACAGGGAGCAACGTCTCTGAATTACCTCCAAGTCTTCCATCAAAACCACTGTGATGGAGGTGTTATCAGTAGACTTACTTTTGCCACATGGAGATCTCCATCTTTACCCGATTTTTAGCTATTAGATTTAATTACATTGAAATGTTGAAAGCCATTTCTCAAAGATATGCATTTGGCAAGTTCTGGGAAGTTACACCTCCACTACTATTACTGATTTAACTTGCCTTCCAAGTCATGAGTTGCAGACCGAACCACAGCACAGCAAAACCACCAAATCTTGTAGTTATCTTGCCAGTTGAGAGCTACCTGAAGGTTACAGGACTGCGGGCACAGCTGCAATCCTATCACAGCCGCGTATCACCGCTTGGTAGTGCAAGAACCCAATTTGAGAGTGCCGCAGCGGCGAGGGCTGGCAGGGACAGCCTCACCTTCACCGGCACCCGGCGGGGAACGGCGGGGCCGGGCCGGTGCCGAGCCCTCACCGAGCCCTGTCTGAGGCAGATCGGGCCCGGGCCGGTGCCGAACCCTCACCGAGCCCTGTCTGAGGCACAGCGGGGCCGGGCCCGTGCCGAGCCCGGTCCGAGGAGCAGCGGGCCCGGGCCGGTGCCGAGCCCTGTCTGAGGCAGAGCGGGCCCGGGCCGGTGCCGAGCCCTGTGTGAGGCACAGCGTGCCCGGGCCGGTGCCGAGCCGTGTCTGAGGGGCAGCCGGACCCGGGCCGATGCCGAGCCCGGTCCAAGGAGCAGCGGGATCGGGCCGGTGCCGAGCCCTGTCTGAGGCACAGCGGGCCCGGGCCGGTGCCAAGCCGTGTCTGAGGGGCAGCCGGACCCGGGCCGATGCCGAGCCCGGTCCGAGGAGCAGCGGGATCGGGCCGGTGCCGAGCCCTGTGTGAGGCACAGCGGGCCCGGGCCGGTGCCGAGCCCTCACCGAGCCCGGTCCGAGGAGCAGCGGGATCTGGCCGGTGCCGAGCCCTGTGTGAGGCACAGCGGGATCTGGCCGGTGCCGAGCCCTGTGTGAGGCACAGCGGGCCCGGGCCGGTGCCGAGCCGTGTCTGAGGGGCAGCCGGACGCGGCCGGCCGAGCCCCTCTCCCGCGCAGGCGCAGTGCGGCGGCGCTGCCGTGGCCGTGGCAACGCCGCCGCCGCGGGGCCCGGGCCCGGCCGGGCGGGTTTCCACCCCGGCAGCGCAGCGCTGCGAACCCGCGGCTCCACACCAGCACGGACCATTTGCTGCAGGTTCTTGGCCACAACCGTGCTGGGTGGCACGGGCACGGCTCTGCCACGTTGCTCGGAGAAGCGGCGCGGACTGGAGGAAGAGCAGCAGCATCATGGCCACAGCTGCATCAGCGGCAAATGGAGTGTGAAGGGAACATAATACAGAAATACAGATTTCTTGGGTCAAATCTTGGTCCTACAGAACTGGAAGAGCGTAGCTACCTGCTTTAATGGCTCCTGATTCAAAAAGACCATTTTCTACCTTTGATTGTACTGAGATAGAATTTGGACTGACCTGATCAGCCCTAATGAAACAGCTATTTTCCCCATTCTTTATCAGAAAAAGAATCCCTGTTCTTGAAAAACAAGTTTGGAATTTGGAAGGGGACAATAATAATGAAAAGTAATGATGCCAGACTAATTATTCGATTCAAGACTTAAACACAGATAACAGGAGATTAATCATTAAATGCAACATTTAAGCTCCATGTCATTATCTAGCAAAATCTGGCTTTGGTATAAGAAAAAAATATTTTAACTTGTGTACCATTTCCATTTTCTTTAAAATTATCATATATATGATGCATAAACATTGAAAACTAATACTTGGTTTATGGCGTTGCCAGGGACTTGAATCCACATTCCACTTCATTTTCAGAATCAGTGTATTTGCTATAAATGAGGTTCAGCTACTCCTTATCTTTATATATAAATGTATTTATTTTATAAAAGTTTTGATTGCTGCTCAAAGAAGTACAACATACACTAAACTGCAATAAGAGAGAAGTTATTTACATGAATTCCAGGATGTTGGTATTGATGACTTGACAGGCATAACAAGGAAACCCTGCTGAATGCCTCCAAGTGCTCTTGCTTTCAGCTTGAAGACTGCCTAAAACTTTTTTATTCAAAATAAGAGAATCATGATAAAAGCTCCAAATATTGCCAAGAATTAAAATTTAAAATGGTAATAAGCAAACACTGACTTATTGTGGTGAAATCAAGTCCAAACTGACTATGTGTCTCATAGTAGGCCTTCCATGGGGGCAGTTCCAGGGATGCTCAATCTCACCCATATGGGTGATCAGTTTTCTCATTTCCTGAACATTCAGTGCAGTTCCAATCATCACCTGCAAGCAAAGGAAAATAAATTAATTCTCTCCTTTTTCCTTTTGCCAGCAGACACAGACCAGAGCAATACTTCAGCTACTATAATAAATTCTGTACAAGGCATTAAAAATAAAAAACACCTACCAGACAATCAGAAGACAAAACCCAGCTAACACTGGGTTCATGAACCCATTAGTTTGGAACAAAATAAAAAACTAGCAGAAATATCTCCCACGTTACACTAGATAAAAACATAAGGAACAGAAGGAAGGATATTAGCTGTTGACACTCAGCAGTAAATAAATTTGCCCTGCAATACACATGCAGATATAGCCACCTCTACTACATCAGGAAATGTGTTATTTATTTATTTGAGCACAAACAGTACTTACAGACTTCCTGCAAGCTCGAGAAGCAAACATCTGTCTGACCCTGGAGGGCCTGCACATCACTCCAGGGCAGTCGCTCAACATGAAAATCAGCTCATCTATGTCTTGTGGACCAAAAGTCCAGTTTTTGCTTGTTGGCAATGATACTAATTTCACTCTTTGAGTTACAGGAGCTGGAAGGTTTGAAATGACAATAAAGAAACAGAAGTATAAGAAATTATATTTTCTTGAGAGAAAAGCTGAGAAACTACTTTCAAATGTTAATATGATGTGATGTGCATATATACTAATGTTTAAATTTAATCTTTTGATGGATGTAATTAACTAACCAAAGTGGTAACTATGGTAGATATCCTTTTAATATCAACCAAAAAGATAAGTTTGCAAACTTAAAAGCAGGAAGATCTACTTTCTAACAAACCCTTCCATTCTAAAGAACAAATGGTTTATGAAACTTTTTTGAGTTTATGTGACTACAGAATCACTCAGGATTTACAATGGTAAGAGACTGATAATTAATAGCATTTTAGAACAAAGAAACCTTTGGATATTCTGGAATGAAGACTATGGAAAAAATGTGCAGTGACTTCCCAAAAAGCAAAGTGGTACCATACTCTGTGCATTTTCACTATCCTCACTATATAAGGGAAACAATAAGGAACTTGCAAATCACAAAATTCGCTCAAAAGAACAAAGCAAGTCACTACCAAAGCCATAAGGAAAACCAAAGACAATCAGTTACTAATGCTATCTATTTATTTTAAATTACTAGATTTACCACTTCCCCACATTTATCCCTGCAGGTGTACTAATAAAACAAAAGAATTTTAATGTAACATATCCAGAAAAGGCACATCCAGTCATGTAACCAAAAAGTAACTCCAGTCTTCAAAAACTTCTGTAAAAAGCTGGCAAGATAAATAATTTACAATGTTCTGTTAAATCATGCAAAGATACCACAGAATCATAAGTCTTAAAAAAAAAAAAAAAATCCCATATACAATAATGCATTTTATTTCAAATCCTCTGATCACAGCCAAGAGAACTTTTGCATAATCAGTTTAAACCTTTGAACTCTTTTACTTCTAGCAATTCTGGTCCAAACTCACCATTTTCATTTATGACAAAATCAAAGCCATTTTTTCTGAATATTTCCAGGTTTTCAATCAATACAGTTTCATTTACTGCTGTTAAATTGAGATTTTGAGGCCTGAGAGAAAGAAAAAAAGATGGTGCTGCATAGATACACAGTGCAAAGCATTAAAGACAGATTTCAGAAACAACCTAGAAATATTTAATACAGAGCTCTGTAGTAAAATTATTCACTCTGCTGTGTTTAAAAAAAAAAAATCTCACTACTGAACAGTTGCTTCCAAGTGTTACTCAGCAGATGAAGTCAGTTGGGCAGCATTCCTTGTTGCAGGACCAGTCTCCAACATCCTACCAAACTGTGGCTTGCTATGAAAGCCCACGAGAAATCTGTTTGATCACTGACTTGCTGCATAGCTACAACTGCATCCCTGGAATTTATGTTTCATGCAAGGATTGACTCTTTGAAACACAGAATATAAAAACCACTTTAGTCTCAAGTGTTCTGAATGTTTGAAATGCTACATAAATATAAATCAGAGATATCCTTCTGAAACACTGAATTCAACTAATAACATGTTATTGTTAAAACACTGAAAATACTTACACTATCAGCTTCTGACCTTGGAGAACAGTGTGTTGTTGCAACATCTCAAAGTTGTATTTCTCATCAGTAGCATGTTGGTCAATTATGAAAAGATCAGAATTCAACTTTGCTATTATAAACCCCAAATTGAACTGGCCAATGATTTCCATTTTTGCAAACATTTCTTTACTGTATAGAAAAAAAATAAAGAGATTATAAATTACACCCTTATCAGTTAACATGTAAAACTTAAAAACTTCTGTTTCTCCCCTGCAGAACACACTTTAATTAAAAAAAAAAATCTCATTTAAGCAGTATATAAATGTTGTAAATCTGCCAATGACCTATGAGGCCATTTCTGGCAGAACAAAATCCATCATTAAGACAAGTTTTCCCCATTTGTGATAATAAAATTCGAAGCAGGCAATATGGCAATAGCCCAGGTAAGTAACACTGGAGATGGTGTTGTGGTTTTGAAGACAGCTGACATATTTGCCTTCTTTTCACAATTAGAAGATTTTCCTAACACATTTTTTAAATCCAAATATTAACAAATAATAAGACACTGACTGTCCCCTGATCACCTGAATGTAACTTATTTTTCCAGGTATGTCTCACCAAATTTCATTCACACAAGGGACAAATATAAGCTATGCAGTCTTTTCAGTGTGCTGTCAAGAAATTTGGTGTTTCTCTGACCGAACTACAATTTACAAGGCTGAACTAAACCAAATCAATGATGTTTGTGGTCTTTTTAGTGTCTTTTTCCACATTCTGTTTGCATGGAGTTCAAGTAACTGCTCTGTCAGTAAAATAACTCATCAAATAGGTTTTTTTTCTGACATTAAATAAAAAATAGACCCAAATCTAGCAGATACATGTAAGCCTTTTTTCCACCCATAAGACAGGTCTTATATTTTTGCTTAACTAATTTTTTTAACTAATGAGCAAAATAAATCAAACAAGTGACAGCATAAATACCTGATTTCTTTTCTTAATTCATCTTCTGCTACTTTATTGTCCCCAGGACTAATTTTTGCTTTAAATCTTCTGTAATTTTCAGTTTCTGTATTTTTCTGTTGTTGCTGTATTACCTTTTTTACTTTTTCTGCCAAAACCTTCATAGAGAATTCAAGAGGCACAATTTTCTTTTGAACTTCCACCAGCACATCAACACTAGTGTTCTTCACTTCAAGATATTTACCTGCCTTGAAAACATCTGCTTCACTTTTAAAGTTTTTGCTTTTAAAACGTTTTACTCTTAGGGAACAACTACTGGCTTCTTGAGAAAACTTGTTTTGATCAGTCCAGTCATTCACTTGATCTAGCTTGGGTTCAGTGCCCAAGACCTCAACATCACAGTCCAGTGACTTCTTACTGCATCCAGCAGTTTTAAGACATTCCTTCTGCATCTGTTCTTCTGTGCTACAGAATTCTTCCTCAGAATTAATTGCACTTTCACTATTGATGCAGCTTCCAGCTTCTGGTGTACTACATCCAGCATCTGACTCAGAAATACTACAGAATCCAGAATCTGCAGTATCTTCTAATTTGCTCAAGTGTCTCCTTGGAATTGACACCTTTGAGTCCAACTTCTGACAACTTTCATCCTTCTTAGTCAAGACAGTTTTTTTAATCTTTACAGTACTCCCAGTGGTATCGAGTAACCTTTGTCTAGGGGAAGCGTGCTGCTGTTTTACCTTTTTAGAGCTTTGAAAATTACTTTCTGCTGCTTGATGGAGAGAGAATGACTCCCTTAATCTGGCAAGAGTCATTATTCTTTTGCCTTCACCACTTGGATTTTCAGTCTCAGAGTCAGACAGCACATCTGCCTGAGGCTTTTCTGCCTCTTCAGGAAGTGTCTTCTTCAAGTTACCTAATGAAATCAGAATACAGAGTATTTCAAGATTCTAAGTTAGCTGGAAGCATGAATTAAACAATGTGCTTTAGGAAAAGGAATGAAAAGAGGCAGAAAAATAGCAAATTGCTCAAATGAGTCCTGAAGCTTCAGACAATGAGTATAGGGCTGAAATGCATTAATATCAAACACAGAAACAGTTACATCTTGAAGATATTAATGACACTACTAAGAAAGAATTTGTAGTCTCTTTTTAAATTGGAACAGTAATCAGTCCAATCAGCACATTTATTTATAT